AACCTTTTTAATTTGTTTACGAAAAAAATTAAATTTTGGTTTCTGTGCCGACTCCCCTGGTATCCGTTCCTAAGTCGCCTTTGTTACACTGCTAAATATGTAAATTTTTCTTTTTGTTTTGTTTTTCCTTTCCATCTTTAAATGTCGCTACTCCAAATAACGCCTAAATTGAGGGGGGGGGGGGGGGATAACCCAAAACAGGGCCTCAGCACAGGTAAATTGCACCTTTTCCACAAATTGGCACCCCATGATTTTCGGAGTACCCTTTTTGCCATTCACCGGCATGGTTTGGGGCTAAACTAGAGGCGGGAACCAGCGAGCACAGCTACCGCATCCCTGCAGCTTCCTTCTTTTTTGTTTGCCGTGAGTCCTAGCCATCTAGTTTAGCCCCAATCCAGCCGCCACGCGGCTGGGGGATACTCTCGGCGGTGGCGGAAGGCGGGAAATTTGCAAATCGGCGGTGCATGTAGTCCCCAAAAGTGCAATTGCACGTGATGGGGCGTAGTGTGTCTTTAATGTTGTTGATCCATGTTTTCCGCGACCATCCTGTTGCTCTTGTAGCTGATCTTCTGAGATGTAGTGCTTGTGATGGTATTTGATCTTGCTGCATTCTAACGAGATGGCCAAACCACTTGGTCTGCTGTTTCTCGATGAATTTAGTACAAGGTGTCGCTCCCACATTTTGCCTGATAGTTTCATTATTCACTCAAATCTCGTATGGTTAGTATGCACGTAAAATTAATTTCACCAACTCACACTTAAAACCAACTACCGGCCATATTGAATGCTGGGACACAACTAACCACTTCTCACAGGGAGCTTGACCTACTTAACTCAGTAGCTTCGGCAGCAAAACTATTGGAGCAAATCCAAAGTGCATAAGTGGATGAACAAGCACAAATTTCCGTTGGAGTTAAAACCTGTGAATGCTAACACGGTCGACATTGCTTGTGACAAGGTACCCCAGCTCCCACTCTCCGTTTTTACCTCAAATCCTGTTTCCCATTTCTAGTGGTTACCCCAGCTACCACTCCAAGTTTTTACCTCAAATTCTGTTTTCCCTTTCTAGTGGTTACCTCCGCTCCCACTCTCCAAGTGTTTTTAGCCTCAAATCCTGTCTCCCCTTTCTGGTGGTTATGCCAGCTCCTGCTCTCCGTGTTTTTACCTCAAATCCTCTTTCTCCAGGTTTTAGTGGTTACCCAGCTTCCACTCTCCAAGTGTTTTACCTCAAATCCTGTTTCCCTTTTCTAATGGTTACGTTAGCTCCCACTAAGTATTTTTACCTCAAATCCTGTTTCCCCTTTCTAATGGTTACGTTAGCTCCCACTCTCCAAATGTTTTACCTCACTTCAAATCCCGTTTCCCCTTTCTAGTGGTTACCCCAGCTACCACTCTTTGTTTTACCTCAAATCCTGTTTCCCCTCTAGTGGTTACCCCAGCTCCCACTCTCGAAGTGTTTTTACCTCAAATCCTATTTCCTCTTTCTAGTGGTTACCCCAGCTCTCTTTTTGGTGAGACTTTTTTCCCAGGGACCCTGAGAGGTTTGCATACAGCAACTCAGCTACTTGTAGAGGTTAGACTGGTCAAGGGTAAGAAATCAAAAGGTCACACAACTTCCGGGCAGATGGGCAAAGCGGCACAACCCCCAAAAAAGTGCTTGTTGAAATCCTACTATTCAATTGTTAGAAACTGACTGTTGGCAGACTGACTGTTATTTACGGGTTTTCCCTCTCCAGCCTGAGCAGTTACCAAAACCGGCTACAGCCAAGAGCCAACCCAAGAAACCACTAAAACCAGGTAACATTTTTGACCGCACTTTTTTTTTTTTTTTTTTCTAACCTGTTTGGCTTCATGACTGTTTTTCCAGATTATTGTCCTGCAACCTAATGTCGGATGCATTTTTTTTTAAGCCCCACCTTGACTTGCCGAGGGCCCTAATATAACCCAGCCTGTGAGTTGGATGGAGTTTCTGGGACCTGTCCCTGGGTGATCTCATCCGAATGGTGGCATTTTGTTACTGTTAAACGCTTGGTGTGATATCCTGGTGGGGTTATCCGTCAGTTTTCCTTGCTATAAATGTGTAATGAAAGCCATGTTGGTGTAGCAGCTAGATGCTCACCTGCCGGCCTGAAGTTCTATGATTCGAATCTGCATTGACATGTTCAATATTGACCTTAAGTGCTAGCTTAACCTAGCCTAAAATAGGTACAGATGTCTTGGGAAGTAAAGGCGGTCAGCGTTATGTTTATTATATCACTGAGTGCTGATTGGCTTATGTCTGGCATCATATGCCACTTGTGTAGTCAGGGTCTTTACTTGGATCAGTCTTGATTTCCAGTCTAATTTTTTAATCTAATGATAATGGTTAGATAGTACATGGTGATGGTCAGAAAACTTGGAAGGGGAAAAAGAGGCAGAAGTTGGAATACTTGTGGCATCAGGGCAGGAAGACATCTCCTGGAATACTTCGGCGTCAGGACAGGAAGACATCTCCTGGAATACTTCGGGGTCAGGGCAGGAAAAGATCTCCTGGAATATTTCTGCGTCAGGGCAGGAAAATATCTCCTGGAATACTTAGGCGTCAGGGCAGGAAGAGATCTCCTGGAATAATTCGGCGTCAGGGCGGGAAGACATCTCCTGGAATACTTTAGCTTTGGGGCAGGAAGACATCTCCTGGAATACTTCTGCGTCAGGGCAGGAAGAGATCTTTGAAACAGGCTCTTCTATTAGCTTCGTTTAAAGTACTTTTCAGTGTCTCTATTTCTACAGTCCATATTATGCGTGGTCGACCTCTGGATCTGTTACCTCTTTCTGTATAGCATTCCTGTCTGCTGCCAACCTTGTTACATGGCCAAACCATTTGACTTGCTGTCTAGCTATAAAGTTCACTGGTTCTGTACCAACTCCCTTCCTGATATCTTCATTCCTAAGGCGATCTTTCCTTGTTACACCTAGTATATAGTACATAAACATTTTGTCGTGACTGTTTTCCTTCTGTTTTCTGAAGACAATGTCTATGTTGGACACTGATAGCACAGCACTGGTAATGTTGTTTAACAGTTGGCTGTTAAAAGGTGGATATTGCAGTCTAGCTGTAAATTACGGGATGTACCAACCGCTTTAAGGATGAAAACAGAAGCAGTAACAGCTGTTTCTCTGCACTTGTAACCAACCAATACATTGTTGTAGACTTTTCAGTTGTTTGAACAGACAATTTATTGCCTGGCATATTAGCTGTATCTGTCAGGTGCCCGGCTCATTAGCGTAGTTGGCTAAACCTGACTTCGTGGCTGCCGGGTAACCTTTTGGTCTGGGTTCATTTAGTTTCAGTTTCAAGTAACATTTCTCCCAGATTTACGGTATATATCATGGAATCAAGGCCGAAAGATTGCGGTATTTATAGTACTGAGCCAAATGAGTTAAGAACTCATGGTTTCTGAATATTAAAAAGAAAAATGGGAAGGCTGGGTTTTTTTTTTTTGTGGTTGACCAGTCACCTGATTCGTTGAGTTGTTAGTATTTTCTTCTACCACCTGTAATGAAATATGTTTGGCAACTCGTTTCTTCAGTCATTGATCAGTTTAACCCACGTATACAGCATTAAAAGTGCATTTAAAGTGCATTCAAACTGGGAAATACAATTATATTTGGTGTACTTCGACACTGGTAGCGTAGGATTTAAAATGGTTTTAAATCTGATTGGAGGATTTATTCATCTGCTTAATTTTTATCATTACTGTATATACACCTGACAAGTTACAGCAAAATATGCCAGGCAATAAATTGTACAATTTGTCTTTGTTCAAATTCACAATAGGAAAACATTTTTTTTTTTTTTAATGTTGCTATTTACCCCACAGCGTACAATCCCCTGATGGGAGGTGGCAGCAGTGCGGCCTGTTACCGACCGTCGCGCAGAGGAGGTCCTAGTGCTGGTGGATGAGGTTAATGCGGCTGTGCTCTCACTCCTGGCATGAGTCTCCAGGACATAGACAGGAATTCTCAGTAGACAGGTTTTTTTTTTTGGCAGACGGGACTTTTCCAGCACACAACAGCAGTCGGGACTTTTTCCAGTAGATTGGACTTTTCGTTATTGGCAACAGCCTAATTTTGTTTGGAATATCTAGATGCCTTTGAATATAATCTTTTCATTTAGTATGAAATCTTGGGACATTTCTGATGGAATGCATATTTTTTATTTTTGAACTAAACTAGTGGGAAATCTATCCATCATTTGTCTCCAAGTTGCTTCGTGCCTGGTTTCACAATTTCAACTTCAGCACTGCTAGACTTTAGATTTGGATTATAGCCCTTTGTTTGAGAGTAGTGCACATAGTGGGACACACTTGGTGGGACACACTTGGTGGGACACACTTGGTGGGTTAGTAACAAATATGGGTCACATTCTGGAGTACGTGACTAGTGTGTGATCTTTACTCAGCAGACCGTAGTGTGTAGGAGGTTCACTGGGCTGACCTTTACACGGAGGTCATGCTCTTGTCTGACTCCCATTGTTTGGGAGTGCTTTCGGCTGACTCCATTGTGTGACATGCACTTAGTTGACCCTAGAATGTGGTGCGTGGACTTTTGCAGATTTGAATTCCTTTACTACACTTCGAATCTTTCCCTGATTTTATCTATATTCTGATTATCTACATATTTTTATACATATTTTACATGAGAGGTCCTAGATTATGCCATAACCTGATCTTCAAAGACCTGAGAATCTTCCTGTTAGTCTACGTGATCTCATGCAGATGATGAAGCATAGCCAGGTTTTTGTTTTTTGGTGCAAGAGAGTATCTCAACAGCGTGTTATTGGGGCAAGATTGTCTGTTAAAAACTGGCATTAAAGCTTGCTTTTGTGACTTTGTGTGAAAAGCAACTACATGTCAATGAAATTCGTTTGTCAGCATGTTTTTCCATATCTTAAAGGTGCGTGCAACACATGATTGCAACGTATTATGCTGTTAATAGATAAATCATAGATGGAAAATGGGTTAAAGATGTCAATTGCTTCCTACTTCTCATATAGGAAATGGGGTGTATATGATAGTTGCTTCTAATTGTCAGGCGGGAAATGGGGTATATATGATAGTTGCTTCTACTTCTCAGATGTGAAATGGGGTATATATGATAGTTGCTTCTATTTTTCAAATGAGAAATGGGTTCGTTTCTACTCTGTTGGGAAATGGGTTAAAATAAGTTGCTTCAACTTCTCAGATGGGATGGGTTCAAAATAACAGTTGCTCCTTCTCAGTTAGGAAATGGGTTAAAAATAACAGTTGCTTCTTCTCAGTTGGGAAATGGGTTAAAAATAACGGTTGCTTCTAATTCTCAGATGTGACATGGGGAGACACTGGAGAATAAAAGCAAACTGCCAATTTAATGTTTAGTTAAGAGAAGGTGACTCAAGGTTACCTTTATGTTGACATGTAGTTGCTTTCTAGAATGGACAATCCAAGTTTTTTTATCTGTTGCTCTTGCACCAGGGCAGCTGACAGTGAAGTGTGGGTGGGTTCATTTGTGTGAAATGTGTCTATGCAGTTCTGTGATATTTCTGGTTCTTGCAGTTTTTTATCTTTGTTTGGGTTCTACTGAACTTTTTCCGTCTGAATACTGGATACTTTCTCACCGGACAACTTTGTCCCACTGACATTGTCCTAGTGAGCATTTGTCTTGCATTAGCTAATTTCTTGTTTCCTGCAACTCCTGTCTTCTCTGTAATATTCTTGATCATGTGTTTCTTCTCCCTGATTGGTCTCCATGTCCCTTGCCTTGTGGGTTCCAGAAACACATTCTAGTTAAACTGTTTGCATGTTTTTGGAATAACCTATTGAATGCTAGCACCTTTCATCTCTGGACTCTCTGGGGAATTCATTTTTCTCTTTGAGCTTCCTACTGGTGTTCCAACATACCATGTTTGCAGCACCCATTTGTGTCTAAGAAACTGAACTCTCAGGTACCTTTCTCATCACCCAGATTAATCCTAAACCAGACCAGTTTACCAAATAAATGGCAGACATAAATACAAAAGAACAGCTCTCTATCCTAGTTTTAACCCGGATGGGTTGAACCAGATATCTTTGTCTAAATTACTCTACCCAACCAATTTGAACCCACCCACACAGAAAAAGCTGTATTCATGATGTCACAAGTCCAAAAGTTGTCTTAACTTGATAAGTGACTGAATTACACAGCTGCTTTGTTTTTGTACTTTTGTTTTGTTAGTTCTGCATGTGCAATTTTGCCACTCATTATTTCATCACTAACGTATTTTGTGAGTATTTGTATGTGCATTTACTTGAGTAACCTGTACACAAATGTGATGTGTATAAATATTTGTACTGTTAACTATTGACAACTATGACAGCTGTTTTGGAGGGGGTAGATAAAGCTTTATTTATAAACTGATTTATAGTTATTATTCTGGTTTGTGTGTATGCAGCGCACGTTGATACTGAATGTTGTGCAGTTTGTCTGGAGTTTCTGCTTACAGCAATAAATGAGCAGAAGTGGAAAAGTTTGAGTATGTGGCTTTCTTATATACAGACCAGTCAGGTTATGTTGCATTGAAGTTGGACTGTTAGTATTGTCAGTTTGCTGTGACTGTCTGGCATTGTATTTGCTGTGACTGTCAGGCATTCTTTTTAGTGTAGCATTTTCTTTAGACTTTCTTTCATTTTTTCTATACTTTTCTGGCATTGTCTGTTTTCAAAATTTAGTTCTAATTTATTGACTGGAGAAAATGACTTCAAATAGTTTAAGAACTGAGCCAAATAGTTTAAGAACTGAGCGTCCGAGGAGAAGCAGATTAAAACTTGCAGTGGCAGTCCTTATGCTTGAATCCAGTGATTAGGTCTTCCTTCTTCTGTCACTGTTGCCATGGGCTGTGACTGATGCCTCGCTACAGTTTATATTGTCTGGAAAAAGGTACTAACTCTTCTACTGCTAAACACATCACCCATTTTGTTCCGACTGGTCTATAAAATATGCATCTAGCCCTATATGCCTGAAAGGCGTGAAGGGTCCTTTACTTTTTACTGTTGTATCACATTTACCGTCGGCTCTGTGGCTTCGATGCGAAGGCTTCGTAATGCCGGGATGCTGGGTTCGATCCCAGCTGCAGGCCATGCGCCTTGCGTTGGTTTCGACAGTGGTATCAAGAGAGCCGACCGTCCAGTAGGCAATGCCAAACTACTGGACGTAAATTTGCCTAGAAAAGCCGCACAAAAAAAACCAGGTTGGTTCTTCAACGTCCTGTAAAGGATACGCAACTAACCTATCACATTTGCCGTTTGTAAACTCTAGCGGAAAGTTCTAGTTGTTTATCCACTTTTGCCTTGTTCCAGAACTTGAACTTTGCCTGGATATCCGTTTTACAGATCTGGCTTTTTTGTATGCAGACTTTTGGTTCCTTACCTCTCAGGCAGATGCTCTCCGACTTCAAAGTAAACATTACTTTTTAGTCGCCTTTTATGACATGCTTGATGGGGAGGAAATGGGTCTATTCTCTTTTCCTAATGCGACCTTAGAACCCACATGGGAATGCGTTCTTTGTTCAATGTCCATCTTAATCACAACCCAGGAAAATGTAAACTAATCAATATTTGAAACAAATGCATATTTCATAATTGTACTTAATGAATAAACACATGATATATAAATAAACAAACAAATACATTAACAAATATACTCAGAGAACTCAAAACAGTTTACATCCCAGTTATAACACTGAGTTATTTTTGATAAAAATTAATGCATCTACTGATGAGGGAGGTTTTACCGGAACTCCCCGAACCCCCCGCCCAAGAGGTTCTGATGGCCTTGTACAGAGTGTCCCATAGTTTTCCACAAGTAGGAAAAACAAACAAATCACCGACATTAGATGAACTTCAGTTGTGCTTATGCATACGTTAAGGTTTAGCTGACGGATCAACGCCACGGCACAAGGGCAGTAACCCATAAGGGCTCTACTTCTAACTCAAGTCTAACTCTGTAGCACCGGCGAGGATCCTGAAATATTTTGGGTAGATTTTTAACTCCAAATTTTGCGCGGGCACAGCCGTGTGCCTTGATGTTGATTTGTTGAATTAACATTTTCAGTGCATTCAACACAAGGTGATACACACACATACATATATATACACACACACACACACACACAGTTATTCAAAATGATGAATACACTTTCATTCGTGTATATTTCCTTGAATATATATATTGAGTTTTAATCATATATTTACAAGAGATGAAAAAGGGGGGGGGGGAGAGTCTCAAGTTTACCCATTAAAAAAAGGTTATTGATGTTCAAAATGAATATCGTCTGCTGCTTGGAAAACATCTAAGCAGTTGCGGAACTCATCCCACACACACCAAGAAGCATCTCTTGCGTAACTAGTTCACTACAGCTGTGAAACGATTCTGCAGGTCGGCCAGAGTTAACTACAGCTGTGAAACGTTTCTGCAGTTCGGCCAAAGTTCACTACAGCTGTGAAACGTTTCTGCAGGTCGGCCAAAGTTCACTACAGCTGTGAAACGTTTCTGCAGTTCGGCCAGAGTTCATTACAGCTGTGAAACTTTTCTGCAGTTCGGCCAGAGTTCATTACAGCTGTGAAAAGATTCTGCAGGTCGGCCAGAGTTCATTACAGCTGTGAAACGATTCTGCAGGTCGGCCAGAGTTCATTACAGCTGTGAAACGATTCTGCAGGTCGGCCAGAGTTAACTACAGCTGTGAAACGATTCTGCAGGTCGGCCAGAGTTCACTACAGCTGTGAAACGTTTCTGCAGGTCGGCCAAAGTTCACTACAGCTGTGAAACGTTTCTGCAGTTCGGCCAGAGTTCATTACAGCTGTGAAACGTTTCTGCAGTTCGGCCAGAGTTCATTACAGCTGTGAAAAGATTCTGCAGGTCGGCCAGAGTTCATTACAGCTGTGAAACGATTCTGCAGGTCGGCCAGAGTTCATTACAGCTGTGAAACGATTCTGCAGGTCGGCCAGAGTTAACTACAGCTGTGAAACGATTCTGCAGGTCGGCCAGAGTTCACTACAGCTGTGAAACGTTTCTGCAGGTCGGCCAAAGTTCACTACAGCTGTGAAACGTTTCTGCAGTTCGGCCAGAGTTCATTACAGCTGTGAAACGTTTCTGCAGTTCGGCCAGAGTTCATTACAGCTGTGAAAAGATTCTGCAGGTCGGCCAGAGTTCATTACAGCTGTGAAACGATTCTGCAGGTCGGCCAGAGTTCATTACAGCTGTGAAACGATTCTGCAGTTTGGCCAAAGTTCACTACAGCTGTGAAACGATTCTGCAGGTCGGCCAGAGTTCACTACAGCTGTGAAACGTTTCTGCAGTTCGGCCAAAGTTCACTACAGCTGTGAAACGATTCTGCAGGTCGGCCAGAGTTCATTACAGCTGTGAAAAGATTCTGCAGGTTGGCCAGAGTTTTTGGTATAGGTAGTACACCAACTTTAGAGCTTCCCCCTCTCTTGTATGGATATTACTCATAATCAATGTGTATAATTTTCTTAGATGAAAGTGTATCCATCATTAAAAAAAAAAGAACATGTATATTGAAACATATTTCCTGGAATAAATGTTCTTGTAATTCTTCTATTTGTGCCACGTGGCGTTTGTAGTCATGTTTTCCCACAGCCTTGTGTCTTGTATTTTTTCATTCATGTCTGATCATCTACCATGCCATGATTTCAAACTGTCCAGCATGTTTTCTCGTGGTCTCCTTCGGCCTCTTCTGCCACTTTCCCGCCATCACACTACACTCTAGATGTTTTCCTTCTCGTCTGACCCCAAATAAGCACTTAGTTTGGTGCTTTATTAATATCCCACAGGTCAGGAGACAGTCTAATATTTCAGGGAGTGGAAGATAGGCTGCATGCAGTCGTGGCTGAACTCTCTAGTGGGACGGAGGTGTATTGGAGGTTAGGGCCAAGGTTCTAGATGTTTTTGAGTTCGTTGTTTTGTTTTAGTATCCAGAAGCCATGAGTTGTTAACCCTTAGGCTCGGTATTATGGATATCGCAACCTTTCGGCCTTGATTCCATTATAAATACCGTCAATCTGGGAGAAAATGTGGCTTTCCTGCCTACCCCCGGGATTGAACCCGGACCACAAGAAGTACGTCACCCGGTCTCCGCGAAATCCGGTTTAGCCAATTCCGCTAGAGAGCCGGGCGATTGGGGTCGTTAAAAGCATCAGATAGCTGGGAAACCCAGTCTTATCACCCTCTAAAATGATGGACTGTCTTGTGACGTCATCTGGGGGGTAGGATATCACCAAAGAACCCTGAATTTATATCTCTTCTTCTTCTGCAATCCCCTATTGGAACATAGGACCTCAACCAACTCACGTTGTAGTTCTTTCCTTCCCTGTTGCATGCAGCTTTCCTCATGTCCTATCTTTCTTTCTCTAGCTCCCTTCTGCGTATGTTTTTTGGGTCTTCCTTTATTTCTATTTCAAACTGTTTAGCATGTTGTTTCTTGGTCTCCCTGGGACATTTCTACTCATTCTTTCCCGCCATCACAACCCACTCCAGTTTCTCTCCTTCACTTGCGACCCAAACATTAAAAGGGAACTTCGCATCCATGTAAAATGTAGTTTATTCCGCACCCTTGTTGCTTGGTCTGAAGTTGGCATTGACGTAATACGTCTCTCCTTGGTGTCTGTAGGCATCTGGAATCAGAAACTCTGAGTGGGGTTTGTTATAGTATTCTCGAAATCCCATTTGTCTTAATTTGGTGAGGACCTGAAATGAAATTATGAGAAAAATCGTTCATTATGCAGTGAAAATGCTTTGTAATGCTGAGGTGCCAGGTTCGAACCCATACTCCTTCAGATGTGCTGTGCATATAGTGCTAGACTTGTGCATGTGGTGGGTAATGTGGTCAACATCACACAGGTCACCTTTACTTCCCACAACTGTACCTGTTAACCACTCCAGGCTAGGTTGACCTGGAAGCCGAGGTATTTTTTGCAATAACCACAAAAGTCCGGCTCTACTCGGATTCGAACCTACTACCTTTAGATCCGCAGGCGAGCGTCTAGGGCTAGATAGATCACAGCGGCTCCCTTTGTTGTCACACCGGGAGAAAACTGAAATACTGTATAAATGGAGGAGAAAAGAGGCAGGCGAATTGATACACATGATGTTGATATCGCTAGGTATTTAGAAGCTTGATCACCTACGCCAGTTTGCAAGGAGCTGACATCTGGCTAGACATCAACGTGGCAGCCTCAGGATACGTCAGTTAAGTGATTTAGTGTATTTGTGTGGCTTTGTTTGATATACGTATATGCTAATGAAGGCTCTTTTGTTCCCTTTTTCTTTGTGTTTGTTATATTGTTAAGCTCGCTAATCTACGTTTCCTTCGGTTTTATATCTTTCCATAGCGTGAAGACAATGATGGCTTGGTCTACGATATTCGAAGACCCTTTTGTAATGTTAAGACAAAATATCAGATAACTAGCGATGTAGAGGCAGGCAGAAAGCGAGAATGGTTAATCCTCAGATGACCAAACAAAAAGACCGACCGATCTACGGACAGACAGACAATCAGCCAGCCAGACCGTTTAAAATCTGTCAGATTTCAACTAGAAAGTCTGGCAGACAGACAGATAAGCTTTTATACTGACCGCCGACTAGTCAGAAAGAGCCAGTCAGACAACAGGCAGACGGTAAGCTAGACAATCAGAGAATAGACAGCCAGCCTATGTAAAATCAGCCTCACAGATTGCCGGCTATAGAGGCAATCAGATCATATAGATAGACAGGCATATAGATTTATAGACATGCCCACAAAGTGGAAGTGCATGCAACACTCAGTTTCTGGAACAAGGATCAATTCCAAAGGTAGACGAACAACTTTACATTTTCACTAGTTTACAGCTGGCTGGCCTTTCACCTAGATTTTCTTCAGCAGACGGTCTCAAGTTTCAATGGATTGGATCAAGATGTGAAGAAAAGACGCTGGCGATGGATATGACACACAATGAGAAAACATGAGAATAATATAACTATAATGTCTTCGCACTAAAAGCCACAGAGGCATAGCAAAACAGGAAGACCATAAAACACACGGAGAAGGAAGCTAGACAGTGAGGTTAAAAAGATGGGGAGAGCTGCTTACGATAGTGAGGGATAAAATGACTTGGTGTGACTTCGATGGAGACCTATCCTCCACTGGGGGTTAAAATGGCAGAAGAAAAAAAAAAGAAGAATGCAAAGAAGAAGAAGAGGAGGGGGAGAAACAAGAAGAGTAAGAGGAACAGGGAGGAGGAGGAGAAGACCAAGAACAAGAAGATGAACAAGAAGAAGACGAAAATGAAGAAGGAGGAGGGGGAAAAGAACAAGAACAAGAAGATGAACAAGAAGAAGAAGAAAAGGAAGAAGAAGAAGGAGGAAGCGAAGAAAAAGACGAAGAAGAAGAAGAAGAAGATGATGAACCAGAAGATGAAGAAGAAGAAGAAGAAAAAGTTGAACCAGAAGAAGAAGAAGAAGAAGAAGAAGAAGAAGAAGAAGAAGAAGAAGAATGGTAAACATACAGACAGACACATCAGACAGACATGAAACACTCTATTTTACAAGTTCAGACTGACATTGAACACTTTATTTACAAGTTAAGACACACCAAAATACATGCTATACGTACCTGAAAATAATGAACAAAATTAGACTTTGGCGGTCTTTTGGGGAAAAAGTGGTATTCAATGAGCAGATGTCGGACGTACTGAAGCATTTCAGTCTCCATCAGATTGTCAAGGACCTGCCATTCTGTAGTCTCAATGTCGATCTTAAGGACATCGATTGTCTTCTGAAAAGTTATATATATAAATATGTATCTATCATTGGTGATTTGTATTTTTGAAATCAAAGAATTTAGTAGTCAAACTTTATTAACGTTAATTGTATGTAGGTTGTCGGCTCTGTGGCTAAGTCGATGCGAACGCTTCGGGATGCCGGGTTCGATCACAGCTGCGGGACATGTACCTTGCGTTGGTTTCGACAGTGGTATCAAGAAAGCCGACCGTTCAGGGACAATGGCAAACTACTGGACGTAAATTTGCCTAGAAAAACCACACAACAGCCAGGGGCCTTGTATGTGTGTGTGTGTGTGTGTATACACATCTTATTCTTCTTTGACACATCTCTCACTCTGTATGTGTGTATATCTACACACATCTTACTCCTCTACGACACCTCTTTCTCCTTCCCCTCTCTCATTCTCTCTCTCTCTCACTCTCTCTCTCTCTCTCTCTCTCTCTCTCTCTCTCTCTCTCTCTCTCTCTCTCTGTATGTGTACAAAAAGATTTTACCCCTCTATGAAATATTTCCATCTCTATTTCTCTCTCTCTCTCTCTCTTCTCTCTCTCTCTCTCTCTCTCTCTCTCTCTCTCTCTCTCTCTCTCTCTGTACACTGAATTTTAAGCCTTTACGACTATCTATCTGTCTATCTATCTATCTATCTATCTATCTATCTATCTATCTATCTATCTATCTATCTATCTATCTATCTATCTATCTATCTATCTATCTATCTATCTATCTATCTATCTATCTATCTATCTATCTATCTGTCTGTCTGTCTGTCTGTCTGTCTGTCTGTCTGTCTGTCTGTCTGTCTGTCTGTCTGTCTGTCTGTCTGTCTGTCTGTCTGTCTGTCTGTCTGTCTGTCTGTCTGTCTGTCTGTCTGTCTGTCTGTCTGTCTGTCTGTCCGTCCGTCCGTCCGTCCGTCCGTCCGTCCGTCCGTCCGTCCGTCCGTCCGTCCGTCCGTCCGTCCGTCCGTCCGTCCGTCCGTCCGTCCGTCCGTCCGTCCGTCCGTCCGTCCGTCCGTCCGTCTGTCTGTCTGTCCGTCTGTCTAGCTATCTAGCTATCTAGCTATCTTATCTAGCTATCTTATCTATCTATCTTATCTATCTATCTTATCTATCTATTTTATCTGTCTGTCTTGTCTGTCTGTCTTGTCTGTCTGTCTTGTCTGTCTGTCTTGTCTGTCTTGTCTGTCTGTCTTGTCTGTCTGTCTTGTCTGTCTGTCTGTCTGTCTGTCTGTCCGCCTGTCAGCCTGCCTATCTACCTCTATATTATCCATACAGCCACTTACCCCTTGATGTCCAAGTTCTCCGACTAAATGTTTCAACGTTCGCACCTTCCACGACTGATTTTGTTTCACATACTCGTCAAAATCCGGAATGAAGGCATTCGTGTTCTGGTCACTCAGCCCGTACCGGTAAAAGTGGACGTTCTGGCTGCGCCTGTGGTCAGTGACTTTTAGCATGCTGTGGGCGCAGGTCAAACAATCAGTTTTTGAGATGCAGGGCCGCTGCAGTTTGCGGGGTCAGGCACACTGAGCGCCTACTGCGACCCCCGCCCCTCATTTTAAAGGGAGTGATGGCCCAATTGTAGTTTTAAGAGTGGTCTTATCCCAACCCAACCCCACTACCCCACCCCAAGAAAATGTGCATGTGTGCTAGGTCCACATAACCTCTCCTTTTTTCCCAAACCATCTCCAACTATACAGGAAAGTTTTTTTTTTCTTTTTTTTTTCTGCGTTTTATATTATTTAATTCCCCGTGTGGGTTCCGGGGACCCATCGTGGGGGAAACAAGAAGAGACCCTCTGCCTACTCAAAAGCATGTCGTAAGAGTCGACTAAATGGGGAGCTGCCTTTGAAGTCGTAGTGCATCTGCCTGAAAGGCAAGGAACCAACAGTCTGGTTCAAGTGAGTCAGATCTGTAAAACTGATGCACACGCACCACTCAGGTTCTGGAGCAGGACTGCAGTTCAGAAGTGGACGAACAACCAGAACTTTACACCAGAGTGTACAGCTGGTGAACGCGAAGAAGAAGAAGAAGATATTATTTAAAATGTATTTTTCATATTTTTATCGACCAAATCGACTTCCCGTGACTCGTGGTACCCATTTTAAACTGGGTCAGTCTGGGAGCCAAAAATGTTTGTGGGGAAAAAAAAAAACATCAACTCAATGCCGATTTGAACACAGGACCTTTAAACATACAGACAAGCGTTTTATCGCTACACTTTCATACCCACAGAGTCACTTATATCCCCCCGTGTCCATCTTCGTTTTGGTCGGCCCCTGCCCCTCCTTCCAGGTACCATGGCTTCTGCTATTATTTTTCGTACCATAACTGCGTACCAAATTAAATGTGTGTATTACGTCATTTTTGAAGTGCCACGTAATTGTTTGTTTACAATCTTCTTCTGCTTTTCTCTACTCCTTCAATGTCTCGCGGCGTCAGGACGGAAAGAGATCTTTAGAACGAGCCCTTCTGTCCGCTTCGTATAAAGTACTTTTCAGTATTTCTGATATTTCTGCGGCCTATCGCCTGCGTGGTCGACCTCTGGTGTATCTGTTACCGTTGTAACTGTATAACGCTGCTGTCATATGTGTCTTCAAATGTTAAATGCTGAATTAAGAATCGGCATCACAGCACTCGGGATACTCCTAACTAACATAAGCGCTCCGTCTCCATCTTCAGCAGCAAGCGAAGAGTACCATTTCTGATGGCACAAGTAACCATCTGATTCTATATCCGTCTCATCCTTCCCCTAGGTGTTAAGCGTCGGCCGGATCACCTGGTAACTCCTTGCAGCGCCATTCTCCTCAGACCGTAATAATTGTTTTGCGCTTCCGCACGGTTCACTCGTTCCCAAAGGGCTCTACAATTTGATCTTAGCTACAGCGAGTTTAAGGAAGTCGCCTGCAGCTCACCCCACATCCTCTTCATCTCTCAGACTTTACTCTCTAGCCCCCTCCTCTGTGTGTTTTTGGTCTTCCTTTATTTATATGCCCCTGTGGGTTTCAGTGCAAAGACGTTCTGCTAATATACTTATATATTAGTTTCTCAATGTGTGTCCTATCCAGAACCAGCGTCTTTTCTTCACCTCTTAGTTCACTGTAACTTGTTTTATACTCTCCCAAATCTCTATATTATTGATTCTATCATACCATTTATTTCCCTGTATTCTGCGCAGGCACCTGTTAATAAATGTTTGTAGTTTATTAGTAATTGCTTAAGTTGTTCTTCATGTTGCATTAACCCCACATAACAACTTACCAACATCTTCTTTCAACATAGAGCTTCACAAGTTTTTACATGGTATAAATGGGATGATCAAGATACTATGAGTCAGACTGATTACATCTTGACGAGAAAAAGAGACTTCCATGAAGTTACAAATTCGAGAGTTATACCAAACTTGAGTTTAGATACAGATCATAGGATGGTGATACTTGACAGAAAAGTCAAGATAAGTTATCAAACAAGAAAGAAATGTCATAAAAGGGACATAATAAAATGGAAAGAACTAGAGTGTGAGGAAAATAGGCGAGCGTTTCAGCAAAAATTGCAGGAAAATTATGAATAACTTCCACAAAACATACTTAGGGTAAATACAGAATTAGTGAACTTACGGGTCATTAAAGAACAACAATGTAAGTGGTTTGAACATCCAACAAGAATGCCCTGGTACTATCTGAAACAGCGAACCACACTTAAACGTTACAACGGGAATAGAGCGAATGGAAGAGCTCGGAAAATATGGAGTGATTAAGAACAGCCTTACAGAAATGAACATCAGTCCTAATAGTGCTCTTGACAGAGCTCATCAAGGAATGTTAACACACACTCACACACGCACGCACACACACACACGCACACACACACACACACACACACACACACTGTAGGCTGCGGAGGGTTTCTCTTGCATCGGTTTTGACAGGAATACCAAGAGCTGACCGTTCAATAGCAGTGGCAAACTACTGAACGTAAAATTTGTCTAGAAAGCCTACAACAGCCCCCCCCCTCCCCCCACAACCCCTCAGAAATGATGGGGTCTGTTCTGCAACGTCCTATAAAGAATACGCAACTAACTTTTAAGTTGGCTATGCTATAAATGCCAAACGTGGACACTTACATCCTCCAATGAACGTAAAATTGTGACAACAGAGATGAAATGCCTTAGAAGAGCATCAGGGGTTTCAAGGAAAGACAGAATGCGAAATCATGAAATCAGACGAATGCTAGGAATAAAGCTAGTCTTACAGGTCATCAAAGAACAACAAATGAAGTGGTTTGGACACCTAACAAGAATGCCCTGGTACTATCTGCCACAGCGAGCCACACTAAAACGTTACAACGGGTATAGAGCCAGTGGAAGACCTCGGAAATGATGGAGTGATGGCATTAAGAACAGCCTTACAGAAATGAACGTCAGTCCTAAGGGTGCTATTGACAGAGCTCATCAACGAGCATTACATTTCCCCCCGACACTTCGATGAGGTACAAGGTGTCAATCCCTGGTTCATTTTTTCATTCATTCACCACTATCATATTCATAAACCACTTCTTTCAATAAACGGCTGGTGGTGGGGGGGGGGGGGGGGGGGGGGGGGGGGATTAATTTGCGATCCAATGCACACAGGCTGCCACTGACTATTGTGATGCTGTGAAAGCATAGAATATATTTAATGATGTCGATGCAATTTGTCGCGGTCGTCCTCTTCATCTTGTAGCTTATCTGCTGAGATGTAGAGCTTGTGATGGTATTTGATCTTGCTGCATTCTAACGAGGTGGCCAAACCACTTGATCTGCTATTTCTCGATGAATCTAGTATAAGGTGTCGTCCCCACACTTGGTCATAATATAATTATTCACTCGATCTCGGATGGTTAGGTTTGGTACCTTTCTGAGGCATCTCATCTCGCAAGTGGTGATTTATTAACATTTCTTTTAAAGTGGGCCCAAAGTCAAAAGGGTTAAGTAATGGACCCTTTTCCACGATATCAGGCGTCTGGGCATATAGGGCTAGATCTATATTATAATCAATTATTACATTTATTATTTATACAACTATTACATTAAATTATAATAGAAGCATTGGATTGGGTGATGTGGTTTAACAGCACACTGGCCGCCTTTATTTTCTCACGACTTTACTTGGTACCAATTTAAAGCTTGGTCGACCGGGCAACAAAATAATATCAGTGAAACAATGATGTGAAAAAAAAATGACAATAAAATAGCGTATACATTTTTTTTAAACCTGAAAAAAAAAAAAAATACCAGTGAAAGCAAAGAAAAAAAAAAAAAACAAGTACGGGCGTATTTAAAAAAAAATACACACAAGGATAATTTTATTACACACACACACACACTCACACACACGCTCACAATAACAATGACAATAAGGACGTAAAACAAAACAATCAAAAACAGCAACATTTATTTTAAAAGGTAAAACAATATCAAAAGACAACAAAGCCAGAATACAACGACATAAAAACAAACGAGACATTAATACCTGGGATCGAAAGAACGCACATCACATCCAAGTTTGCCAATCGCATCGTCAAATGAAAAATCGTAGGCGATTCTGATGTAGAGAGCATTAATGTGGTAAACATGATAGTGTCCATGTTTCTTCTGTCAGTTATATGTTATAATAATAGAGGGGTATGTGCCTGGCAAAAGAAGAAGAGGAAGACCAAAGAGAATACTGGTGCAGGATGTGGCGGATGATCTCCTGATGGGTACATCGGACGAGGGACATCTTGCTTGTGATCGAGAAGTTTTAGGAAAGTTGTTATGGAAGCAAGGTTCTGCAAAGGACAGGCTACTACTGATTGACTGACTGACTGTTATTTGCACTAGTATCAAGAGAACAGCGAATTATCATCAGCAAATCCGTAACTGGTTGTCTTTTACGAATTACATGGTGCCTCTGGACACATTCGCTTTGATATACGTTCAGTTTAGTTTCTTCTTTGGTCTTTCTAACCCGCAGTGAAGCATAGTCCCTGAACGAGCTCACACCAAGTCGTTCTATCTTTCGCTATCACAAGCAGCTCTCCCCATGACATCCCCATCTGTTTAACTTCACTCTCTCGCTCCATTTTCCTGCATCGTTCACAGTTCTAACATTCCAGTTCTGGAGGTCTTCCTTAATGACAAAGGGGGGGGGGGGGGGGGGGGGGGGGGGGGAATTGAAGGGGAAAAAAAGCAGAATTTCAAATTCCTGAAGTTTTATTGGAAAAGAATGCTCGATTCAAACCAAATAATCTTCTCCTCCTATCATCTAAGTATCATCCCAGTAGACAGTCGACTTTTCAGGAAGCTAAAGTGAGGTTAAATTTTCATTATTTTTATCCAACTGCTTTTGTGTTTATGCATTTAAGTCGTCATCATTATCATCATCAGTTTCAACTTCTGCCGTTAAGCATTGTGGGATGGATAGTTTGCGATTCATTCCCTTATGTGGACAGCTTTGTTATTCTGTATTGATGAAGAAACTATTTAATGTCATCAATCTCCTAGGGCGGCTTCTTGATTTTACTTAAGATCTTTTCATGTGTAGCGCCTGTGTTGCTAGTTGCTCTGGCTGCGTTTTTGCTAAGTGACCAAACCATTTGATCTTCTGTTTCTCAATGAATCTGCTGCATTGTGTTGTTTTTATAGTCTGTTGAATAATACCTTTTCTAACTTGGTCTCGGATGGTTAAGTTGGCGGCTTTTCTCAGGCATATCATTTCACAGGTGTTGATTTTAATTTAGGTTAGCCTTTAATACTGTATTATGTCGTCCCCATGTGAAATGCAACTTTTCGTTTTTTGAAGCCCCACCCTGGCTTTTGCCGGGAGCCCTAAATATAGCCGGGCCTTATATATGGCCCATCGGCTGACCGGGGCCTCTCGGGTGATCCTCATCCACATGGTGGCACTTTGTGTCACCTGGTGTTTATTGCTTGTGTGATGTCATGATCATAAAATAATTACGTAATATATAAATAAGAAATAAGAAATAAATACTCTAAGAACTCAATAAACACTTTATATTCCAAATTTTAAACTGATGATAGTTTAAAAAAAAATTACAACTACTAATACTACTGCTGCTGCTACTGCTGCTGCTGCTGCTACTACTACTACTACTACTACTGCTGCTACTACTACTACTGCTGCTGCTGCTAAAGCTGCTACTACTACTACTACTACTACTACTACTACTACTACTACTTCTACTGCTGCTGCTACTGCTGCTACTGCTGCTGCTGCTACTACTACTACTACTACTACTACTACTACTACTACTGCTACTGCTGCTGCTGCTACTACTACTACTACTACTGCTGCTACTACTACTACTGCTGCTGCTGCTGCTAAAGCTGCTACTACTACTACTACTACTACTACTACTACTACTACTACTACTTCTACTGCTGCTGCTACTGCTGCTACTGCTGCTGCTGCTACTACTACTACTACTACTACTACTACTACTGCTGCTGCTGCTGCTGCTACTGCTGCTGCTGCTACTACTACTACTACTACTGCTGCTGCTACTGCTGCTGCTACTGCTGCTGCTACTGCTGCTACTGCTGCTACTACTACTGCTGCTGCTACTACTACTGCTGCTGCTGCTGCTGCTGCTGCTGCTACTACTACTGCTGCTACTGCTGCTGCTACTAATACTACTACTACTACTACTACTACTGCTGCTGCTGCTACTGTTACTGCTGCTGCTGCTGCTATTACTACTACTACAAAAACAAAGTTTAATTTTGAAAAACCACTACTACTTCAGATGTTGCTGCTGCTGCTGCTACTGTTACTAACACTAATACTACTACTGCTGCTGGTGCTGCTGATGCTGCAACTACGACTACTACTACTACTACTACTACTACTACTACTACTACTACTACTACTACTACTACTACTACTACTACTACAAAAACAAAGTTTAATTTTAAAAAATCACTACTACTTCTGATGTTGTTGCTGCTGCTACTACTACTATATCTGCTACAACAACGACAACAACAAAGACAGAAAAAAGCGGCTTGATCACGTAAGGCAGCGGTGGCAACCCTTTTTTTGTGTGTGTGGAACGGGGGTCGCCTAGAACTATAACATGACAGCGAGTGTCCAAAGCTAAAATCGCAAAGTGTGCGACATTGGTGTCAGGAAGTAAATGTCGTCTCGTCGTATAACGTTTGACGCTGGTAGTCAGTGTGTTAAAGATAGTTATCCGATAGGGCTTTCCTGTTTCTAAAAAAAAGCATACTTATCCAGTTATGAAGTAGCAACGAAAAATAAAAATTATGTTAGGGCTCACCACAACATGAGAGACTCGGGAGACGCGTTAGCGCAGTCGATAGAAGACTCGCTTTCAAATCCAGCTGCAGTTAACGGCCGGTGTTCGAAACCGGGCAGTTCCCGGAGTTCACCCAGCCTCTAGGAAATGGGTACCAGTTTGAGACTCTGGTATAAATGAAGGAACGTCGCTGTAGCTACGGAGCTGCGTGCGGACGGCGACATGGGCGGACAGCTTCTTATCAGCTGTCCGAACTGGTGGCAGAGCTTTTATGGTTTATAACCAGGTGTAATGACGCAGGTTCACATCTCCCCAGTTTCCTTTTTTTACAACATGAGGGACTGTATTGAAGGGTCGCGGTATTAGCAAGGTAGAGAACCACTGTCTTAGAAGGAATGAGTGCGCTATTATTCCCTAACTGTCTGGACTTCAGGTCATGTCTTAACCATCAGGGGCACTCATATAACCCACAGCCGGTTCCAAGTTTTAAAGCTGGAGCCTGCCAGAAAACTTTATGAACATCGCCCCAGAGTTGGCCCCGCTTATTTGTACACCATGTCAGCTTTGATTGGTCTTGCTCAGCCTTGTCAACTATATTGAAAGTTACCGGGGTTTTCGGCGATGCTGTTGATATCGCGTGTTGTAATTTCAACACGTCGCCGCTTTTAACGCTCCAAAAACATGCAGGACTGGCCCTAACACTGCCTCCCCCCCCCCCCCTTGTTTTTGCGAGAGTGCTACAACCTATGTTACAGGTATTATATTTTTCGGAATGAAAACGTGAATGGAAGACAACCCAGAAAGGTTTTCAAGCAAACAGTTCAGCAGGACACCCCAGTAACCTTTAGCAAAGTTGACCAGCCGAAAAAACTATGAATGAAAAGTGACCTGGTGCGTAAATGGGCGGGGCTCACTCTGTTTAGGGAGATGTTTGAAATATTCACCGAGCTCGCCTTGTATTTATGGTAAAACAAAGCTTACCGGGATTATATGTAGGATTCTCGCCCTTATGTGTTAATCCGGTAAATTGCAATCCTAGAGGAAAGAGAATAGAAAAGATAATGCCTTGCGATCCTAAAGAGAGATGCTTAAAAAAAAAAAGAGGGATCATGAGGTAGACCAAGAACATGTTGAAAGATAACATCAGAGACACTCTACAACAGTACGATCTGTCGAGGCCGCCAGAGGAGCGAGGCCCAGAACCTTCAATACCCGAGCGATAAAATATGAAGTGAAGAGAAGAGAATTAACCAACTCATCTCAACCATGACCATCAGCGTGAACTTAAGATCCTCAAGATTTACATATCTGTATCTACTTGTAGTGAGCTTAACCATGCGTCTCTCTTGAAGTTAAAACATTCCTTACCCAAAAGAATAAACCAGGCATGGAGCTTTCACGGTGTATGGTTCATCCTGACATAGTCCCCATCCACCGAACCTTGTTAGATTCTGTTTGCATTGATATCTTAAGGGGGATCTGATATACCTGTAAAAAAAGGAAACAGGTTTTATAAGAAAATGCCCAGAATATAAAAGAGGTGTATCAAGAAAATGCCCAGAATATAAAAGAGGTGTATCAAGAAAATGCCCAGAATATAAAAGAGGTGAATTTTAAAAAAATGATAATGACCTTATGTCTTCTTCTTCTTCTTCTTCTTCTTCTTCTTCTTCTTCTTCTTCTTCTTCTTCTTCTTCTTCTTCTTCTTCTTCTTCTTCTTCTTCTTCTTCTTCTTCTTCTTCTTCTTCTTCTTCTTCTTCTTCTTCTTCTTCTTCTTCTTCTTCTTCTTCTTCTTCTTCTTCTTTTTCTTCTTCTTCTTCTTTTTCTTCTTCTTCTTCTTCTTCTTCTTTTTCTTCTTCTTCTTCTTCTTCTTCTTCTTCTTCTTCTTCTTCTTCTTCTTCTTCTTCTTCTTCTTCTTCTTCTTCTTCTTCTTGTTCTTGTTCTTGTTCTTGTTCTTGTTCTTGTTCTTGTTCTTGTTCTTGTTCTTCTTCTTCTTCTTCTTCTTCTTCTTCTTCTTCTTCTTCTTCTTCTTCTTCTTCTTCTTCTTCTTCATCAACATCATCGTCATCATCATCATCATCAGCAGCAGCATTAACATCATCTCCTTAACATTACCAGATTAGGACACAACGATTAACATGACCACGTATCGGGATAAACCAGTTTCGGACACATACGAGAGATGTGCCAGGTTCTGCCAAAGATGCTAAGATTGCCATGTTTTGATGCAAACCCTACCATGTTGTAATATACATAGCTGTAACACAAACGAAAACATTGTCACGTTCAGATACAAACTGTGTAAAACGACCACACGTAAACAATTGTGAGCGATGAACAGATCATTACGGCGTGGAGTTACGTCTTAAAAACAAACATCCTACAACTTGGGGCATTCCCATAAGCGCTCCATCCCCAGTTTTAACAGTTAGCGCAGAGTTACAATTTCAATGGTGCCGGTTACAGCCTGATTGGGTGCCCTTATCCAATCTCCAATGCTGAGGGTCTGTCAGATCCCCTCGCTGCACCATGATCTGTTTGTACGTCCGTGCTGTTTACTTTCCCAAAGGTCTCTAGCTTTTCTGCACCAGTCTACCACCACGTGACGTAGGGCCAGCTAGTCTATCTGCATGTACATTTCCCAACACACGGACATTCCCCGGAGAAAACATCCAAAGGGCGCTAAGTACGAGGGACATTTGAATCGTTGCTTGCTACACTGCACGGAGCATACCTGTTTCTATGTTTCCTAATATGCTCTGTGAGTCAGTTACAATCACGACATGTACGTGCAGCTGGTTCTCAGGCCAGCGGTTACCACCAGAGGCCATGGTTACCGCCTCTATCTCCCTTCTCCCTTTAAGTCTTTTGCCTGGCTGTGTTGTACTAAGCGACGTCCATTCGCTTTGGCCGTGGACCTTGTGCACTTTTTCTGCATCTCAACACAGTGCCTACTGTAAAGATTACAGTGACTCTCAACACAGTGCCATCAGTAAAGATTACAGTGACTCTCAACACAGTGCCATCAGTAAAGATTACAGTGACTCTCAACACAGTGCCTACTGTAAAGATTACAGTGACTCTCAACACAGTGCCATCAGTAAAGATTACAGTGACTCTCAACACAGTGCCTACTGTAAAGATTACAGTGACTCTCAACACAGTGCCTACTGTAAAGATTACAGTGACTCTCAACACAGTGCCTACTGTAAAGATTACAGTGACTCTCAACACAGTGCCTACTGTAAAGATTACAGTGACTCTCAACACAGTGCCTACTGTAAAGATTACAGTGACTCTCAACACAGTGCCTACTGTAAAGATTACAGTGACTCTCAACACAGTGCCATCAGTAAAGATTACAGTGACTCTCAACACAGTGCCATCAGTAAAGATTACAGTGACTCTCAACACAGTGCCTACTGTAAAGATTACAGTGACTCTCAACACAGTGCCTACTGTAAAGATTATAGTGACTCTCAACACAGTGCCTACTGTAAAGATTACAGTGACTCTCAACACAGTGCTATCAGTAAAGATTACAGTGACTCTCAACACAGTGCCATCAGTAAAGATTACAGTGACTCTCAACACAGTGCCATCAGTAAAGATTACAGTGACTCTCAACACAGTGCCTACTGTAAAGATTACAGTGACTCTCAACACAGTGCCTACTGTAAAGGTTACAGTGACTCTCAACACAGTGCCTACTGTAAAGGTTACAGTGACTCTCAACACAGTGCCTACTGTAAAGATTACAGTGACTCTCAACACAGTGCCTACTGTAAAGATTACAGTGACTCTCAACACAGTGCCATCAGTAAAGATTACAGTGACTCTCAACACAGTGCCTACTGTAAAGATTACAGTGACTCTCAACACAGTGCCTACTGTAAAGATCACGGCGTGGAGAGAATGGTACAGCGGGTAGTGACCAGTTGAAATACAACTCTACATTCAAAGAAACAAGCAAGTCGGACAAATAATCAAATATTTACTGGCATCATGGGCATTCGATTTTTTCTCTTGCTGCTGAAGACGGAGACAAAGCACTTACTGAAATTTCCACTGTTGTGATGTTAGTTTTTAAATTAACTCAGCTTTAACATTCTTAAAAGACCGTGGATCAAGAAGAAGAAAAACATCGACCCCTGTATGACCTGAACATCAAGGAGAACCGGCTCATAAACAGCATCCTCTCCCGAAAGCTGAGGTACTTTGCTCATGTCAAGCGCTATGGGAGTCCATAGAGAACAAAGATGGAGAAATGCAGTTTCCCCATAACTAGGCAGAGGCCGACCTCCGCGAATGAGGATACAGAACACTCAAGATTGGTTAGTTATGACAGCAGAAAGGACTGGGGTTAGTTATGACAGCAGAACGGTCTGGGGTTAGTTATGACAGTAGAAAGGACTGGGGTTAGTTATGACAGCAGAAATGGCTGGGGTTAGTTATGACAGTAGAAAGGACTGGGGTTAGTTATGACAGCAGAAAGGACTGGGGTTAGTTATGACAGTAGAAAGGACTGGGGTTAGTTATGACAGTAGAAAGGACTGGGGTTAGTTATGACAGTAGAAAGAACTAGGGGTTAGTTATGACAGCAGAAAGGACTGGGGTTAGTTATGACAGTAAAAAGGACTGGGGTTAGTTATGACAGTAGAAAGGACTGGGGTTAGTTATGACAGTAGAAAGAACTGGGGTTAGTTATGACAGCAGAAAGGGCTGGGGTTAGTTATGACAGTAGAAAGAGCTGGGGTTAGTTTTGACAGTAGAAAGAGCTGGGGTTAGTTATGACAGCACAAAGAGCTGGGGTTAGTTATAACAGTAGAGAGAGCTGGGGTTAGTTATGACAGTAGAAAGAGCTGGGGTTAGTTATGACAGCATAAAGGACTGGGGTTATTTATGACAGTAGAAAGAGCTGGGGTTAGTTATGACAGTAGAAAGAGCTGATGTTAGTTATGACAGCACAAAGGGCTGGGGAACTTAATAAAGAGACTTTCAGGCTTACCGTGAAGAGAGCGACGTTCTGTTAAGGGCCTGCTAATTGACCCTAAAAGAGATAATTTTACCAGATTGTAATACAAACGATTCCTATTATTTTGAGGCATGATTTAATAGGAATCGTTTGCGGGAGCCCGAAGACAACTTATCACAGACATCAGAAGGAGACAGTCATCATTTTTCGGCCAAGTTATGAGAAGAGGGAAAATAGAACATGTTGTGACCACTGGAAAGATTTGAGGAAGGAGAGATAGAGGAAGACAACGAGAGAAGATGCTTGACACAGTCTTGTTGCATGGCATGAAGGTGTGTCGGCATACGAACTGATACATGCTGCAGGAGATCGCAGGTTATGGAGAGGCATGATCGCCCATGCCAGTCGGCAAGGCACCTGATGATGATGATGATAGTGAATACAAACGATAACATTACCAGGCGAACATAGCGGCTGCCTGCCACCATTCTGTTACGGTAGAGAAGTTTCCTGGGTCGACTGTTATTGGTTGCTTGTTGTTATTCAGATGCTTGTTATACCGTGCCAGTTGTTCTGTGTGGGGAAAGGAGGGAGAAGGGGTGGAAATAAAATAACTTAAACGAGTTGCTCAGTGCACTACAGTAGTCACTAAATAAATGTAGTGTAAATCTTGCCGTTCCCATTGTTGTTCGTTGTCATTATCATTATCATTATCATACTCTTCTTCTTCTTGTTCTTGTTGTTGTTGTTGTTCTTCTTCCTCTTTCTTTTTCTTCTTCTTCTTCTTCTTCTTGTTCTTCTTCTTGTTCTTCTTCTTGTTCTTCTTCTTCTTGTTCTTGTTCTTCTTGTTCTTCTTCTTCTTCTTCTTCTTCTTCTTCTTCTTCTTCTTCTTCTTCTTCTTCTTCTTCTTCTTCTTCTTCTTCTTCTTCTTCTTTTCTTTCTTTCTTTCTTTCTTTCTTCTTCTTCTTCTTCTTCTTCTTCTTCTTCTTCTTCTTCTTCTTCTTCTTCTTCTTCTTCTTCTTCTTCTTCTTCTTCTTCTTCTTCTTCTTCTTCTTTTTCATCTTCTTCTTCTTCTTCTTCTTCTTCTTCTTCTTCTTCTTCTTCTTCTTCTTCTTCTTCTTCTTCTTCTTCTTCTTCTTCTTCTTCTTCTTCTTCTTTTCCTCTTCTTCTTCTTCTTCTTCTTCTTCTTCTTCTTCTTCTTCTTCTTCTTCTTCTTCTTCTTCTTCTTGTTCTTCTTCTTCTTCTTCTTCATCATCATCATCATCATCATCATCATCATCATCATCATCATCTATTTCTTTTTCCTCCTCCCCCTTCGTTTTCTCCTGCACTCCATTTCCTCTTCTCATTCTCCTCCTTCTCCCCTCTTCCTCTTCTTCTTCTTCTTTTTTCTTTGTCTTCATCGTAACCACCTTAGTCTAGTAAGATACGTCCCTGTGCTTCACACAGCTGGGTGTGTACAAGTGCTAAATACAACATAACGTACCACTAGACAGCTCAACGAGGAGTTGGGGGGGGGGGGAAGGGGGCGGGGTGGAACAGACACTCACAAATACAGACCAACATTTCCAACAGTCTTTATCAACGGTGTACTAAATACAACGTCGGCTCTGTGGCTAAGTCGATGCGAACGCTTCGTAATGCCGGGATGCCGGGGCTGATCTCAGCTGGGGGCCATGCGCCTTGCGTTGGTTTCGACAGTGGTATCAAGAAAGCCGACCGTCCAGTAAGCAATGGCAAACTACTGGACGTAAATATGCCTATAAAAAAGCACACAACGGCTAGGGGCTGTTGGGGTTGGTTCTTCAACATCCTGTAAAGGATACGCAACTAACTAAATACAACACAAAACTGCGACTGGAGAACTCAACGGACAAGACAATACTACTTCTAACAACGCAGGTGGACAATTGAAGCGTTAACATATATGTGGAAACCACATTCTGAAGACTGGAAATGTTTTTTTGTTTTAATTTTCTTTTTAATATTTTAGTTTGTCAAACGGTCCATTACAATGTGCACTAACCAAATATTTATTATGAAGAAGTTCATTCAAGAAATTAGTTTAGCAGTAATATGTGGTCTCCTTGTAGGATGCAGTTTTTAATTATTTTGAAGCCCCACCCTGGCGTTTGCCGGGGGTCCTAAATTTAGCCAGGCCGGACATATGGCCTAATGGCTGAACAGGGTTTCCGGGACTTCTCCACTGGTGATCCTCGTCCGCATGGTGGCACTTTGTGTCATCGTGTGTTTATCACTTGTGTGATGTCCTGGTGGGGTACAATTGACATTACAGCATTCAAGGCATTCCCATGCTTGCTCCGTCCTCATTTTCAGCAGCCAGCGAAGAGTTCTAATATATATATATATATATATATATATATATATATATATATATATATATATATATATATATATATATATTTTTTTTTTTTTTTTCAATTCACCATTCTAAGCTTTTTAGTATATACCGGCGTGATGGATAATAAACAGGCAGACAGATTGGCTAGATCCGCACTACTAGGTGGTGAATTGATACATGACAATGCAGATGTGGTCAAGGCCCTTTGGGAACAAGCAACGAAATCAGTAGAGAAAGAAGATTATTATGGCCTGGAGAGAATGAGGCACCTGGGTGTAACCAGAGGGTCTGGCCGGCTCACTACGGTGCCATCAGTATTGGAACTCTTCGCTGGCTGCTGAAAATGAGGACGGAGCATGCATGGGAATGCCTTGAATTCTGTAATGTCAATTCTTGCCTCAACTCAACTGAACTAGTAATAGAAGAAGGGTTTTTGAAAGATCCCAAAGAAGAAATGTTATTGATTAAAATTCCTCAATGCGTAACTCTTAAAAAAATAATTTAGCAATAATAGTGACCAGTGAATAGACAAGATTTCTAGAATGTGTTCTGACCAAATACAAAAACAAAGACAACATAGATAAGCTCAGGAAGTGATTGAGGAGATAGAGTGACTCATACATTGTGCGTTGTTTGGGACCTGAAGAAAAAGGGAAATTACAAGAAATTACACAAATGACGAAAAGTGTATACAATAATAAATAGGGGGAAACAAGATTCAGAAACCAAAAGCTCTAACCCATGGCTCCATCGGTACTCCATGTGTCAAGAACATGCCGGTTCAACCCTTCACGATAGCTTGTCTTAGAGTCTTGTGCCAGCAGGGTGAATGAGGATAATTTCACCATTGTCACAGCGCAGACAATCAAGGTGCAAATAGAGATCAGGGCGATGATCTTGTCCTTGTGCCGGATCATTTTCCCGCTCTTTTTTTAGTCTTGTAGCTACATAAAGAAAATGAAATAGTAGTAGTAGTAGTGGTAGTGATGGTGGAAGTGGTGGTGGTGGTAGTAGTTGGCGTAAAAATAGAATAGTAGATTGAAAAGTAGTAGTAGTAGTAGTAGTAGTAGTATTAGTAGTAGTATTAGTAGTGGTAGTAGTAGTAGTAGTAGTAGTAGTAGTAGTAGTAGTAGTAGTAGTAGTAGTAGTAGGCGTAAAAATGAAACAGCAGTAGTAATAGTAGTAGTAGTAGTTGTGGTGGTGATGATGATGATGATGGTGGTGGTGGTAGTCGTAGTGGTGGTGACAGTGGTAGTAGTAGGTGTAAAAATTGAGTAGTATTAGTAGTAGTAGAAGCAGCAGCAGCGCAGCAGCAGTAGTAGTTGCTGTTGTAGTAGTTGTTGTTATGGTTGTACTAGTAGTAGTCGTCAGAATTATACATGTATGTGTATGTGGGCATATTATGAATACACGTATTTGTGCGTCCGTGTGTGTTCTGGTGGATGGATAAATGAATGATTAGACGAATTTGATGATGGATGAATTGATGTGTCCCTGGGCAAATCAGTGTGCTGGGGCCCCTGTGACAACCACAGACAGGAATGAAATATAAATCGTAAAGTGGAGCATAGAGGGCGCTTTGCTGGTGGGATCCCCCGGGCAAATGCCCAGAGAGCCCATGTGTTAAGGTGGTACTGGTGTACTTGATGAATCTAGTACTAGTTGTCGTTCTCACAGTTTGCCTGATAGTTTCATTATTCACTTGATCTCGGATGGTTATATTGGCGGCTTTTCTCCGGCATCTCATCTCGCAGGTGGTGATTTTGCGTATATGGGCTTTAGATAATGTCTACGATCAGATCCTCAGAGTAATCTTATCTAACATTCTGTTTCTATATATAATATAGATACGGCATTCGGATTGTCTCGTTGTAATGTTGTTCTAATATAACTATTTAATTCGCTTTAACAGATAAAAAAAACTACTAAGCTCCAAGGCTACTGACAATGTAGGTGGTGCCCCTCCCTTTGTGATGCTCTGATTTCGTGCTCAGTGTGCTTAATTTTGAATTCAGTCCTGTGTTTGTGTCTCTTGTGTTTATCCCATCTCTATGTGCCATTTATATTTTGTGTTCGCTTTGTGCATGCATGAATTGTGTTATGTTATGTTATCACAATCGGCTTCCCTGCACATTGGGCATTCCCTTGGGTGCTCAGTCCTCCCATGCAGCAGCCACTCCAAGGTATTTCTACCGACTGCTCTCATGCGAGGTTGTTTGCAGTGTCTTCCATCTCGATCTCAAAGGCGGCCTAGACGTGCTTCACCATGCTTTACTCCCATGTCACGTACGTGTGTGTGTGTGTGTATGAGAGAGAGAGAGCGCGCGCGCAAGTGCTCACGTGCGTGATGGTGAATTACAGGGTATGTAAACTTAGTTGTATAAATAAATGATTACTTTAGAGCAATGTCGGTGATAGTGTGACTCCTTATTTTTGGTTTCAGTTGGACATCAAGTTGGACGCAAAAGTTGGTTTCAGTTGAGCCTAAAATTACTTGCATGTGGTCAAAAGTTAGTTGCATGTGGGCATAAAATTACTTGCGTGTGGGCAAAGGTTAGTTGCATGTGGGCGTAAAATTACTTGCATGTGGGCATAAAATTACTTGCGTATGGGCAAAAGTTAGTTGCATGTGGGCGTAAAATTACTTGCATGTGGGCAAAGGTTAGTTGCATGTGGGCAAAAGTTAGTTGCATGTGGGCAAAAGTTAGTTGCATGTGGGCAAAAGTTAGTTGCATGTGGGAATAAAATTACATGCATGTGGGCATAAAATTACTTGCATGTGGGCATAAAATTACTTGCATGTGGGCATAAAATTACATGCATGTGGGCATAAAATTACTTGCATGTGGGCATAAAATTACATGCATGTGGGCATAAAATTACATGCATGTGGGCATAAAATTACTTGCGTATGGGCAAAAGTTAGTTGCATGTGGGCGTAAAATTACTTGCATGTGGGCAAAAGTTAGTTGCATGTGGGCGTAAAGTTAGTTGCATGGAGCCAACTTATCATACAAGAATTTTTCCATCAACGATAAACTGCATTTCTGGTGGCGACTGTTGGCTTTGGCGCGTCTAGCAATTGAAATTTGCATTTACTGCGTGCGCATATTTCTGGATTGTGTCCGGGACTATTTATGTGTTCATCAGTTTTTCAATTGAGACAGTCAGGGGCATTTTTTTTTTTTTTTAAAGTCATTCACCGTCTTTTTGGGATGAAATTTTTCGTTATTTGAAGCCCCACCCTGGCTTTTGCCGGTTTCCGCAATATAACCAGGCCATAAATAAGGCCTAATGGCTGAACGCGGTTTCTGGGACCTCTCCACGGGTGATCCTCATCCACTGGTGGCACTTTGTGTCATCGGGTGTTTATCGCTTGTGTGATGTCCTGGTGGGGTAGAAAGTCAGTCAGTCAGGCATTTAATTTGATTCGCACTGGCACGCAACGGAGCAAGTATGGGGAAACCCGATTGCGCTGATGTTTAAACGGGGCTCGCGGCAGGGCCCCAGTTAAAATCCCGACTAAGACTAAAGCATAAAGTCATAAAGTTTGGAGCACGTTGTTCGCGACCTTTTCATTCTTCCAAACTATAGCGTTATGTTTAGCAATAGGAAGGTATGCAGAATATGAATAACAAGACCATATATCAAGTTATAAATGATAGAATTCCGAGCCCTTGAGGTTCACTGCTGCATTTATCACCTGCATCCACTCATATCTGAGCAGTAAAAGACCACAATCTTGTCGCGTGGCGAGCCACACAGCCACCTGTGTAAATGACAGGGTCCCCCTCTAGAGAATTCTCGAAAATCTACCCTTCACAGCGGACGCACTTTATTGTCTGTATTTACTGCCTAGTCGGATGCAAACAGAAGGAAGTCGTACAGCAGTCTCTTGGCGTTTGTACACATTCCTCAAGTGAACACCCCTGCTGAATGATGTCCTCCGTCAGACCCATCCACGATTTTCCTATGTTTAGCTTGCTGCCTATTTCTGCGTAATTTCTCTATGCAGCTGATGTCTTGTGTCTGCGTTCTTGTTGTGGGGGACTGTCTTTGTCGCGGCCTAGTTTTCTTAGTCACACTTGCAATCCTTTTGGGTTGTATGTGTGTATGTAAGTTGTACCCCATCAGGACATTACACAAAGCGATAAACACCATGCGGATGAGGATCACCCGTGGAGAGGTACCAGAAACCCCTTTCAGCCGTTAGGCCATATTTATGGTCCGGCTATACTCAGCGCCCCTGACAAAAGCCGAGGTGGGGCTTCAAATAACGAAAAACTTTATCTTACATGGGGACGACTGTGTATAGAGGCGACTAATAATTTTGGGTTAAATTTTCCATGCATTTATACAGCACAGTGGGACGCCATCGTCTACACCAACGGTTCTCAACCTATGGGTCTTGGCCCTTTTACATGGGTTGCCAAAGACCAACGCAGAGCAAATATTTACTAAGTTATGAAGTAGCAACGAAAAATAATTGTATATGTTGGGGTTGCCACAACATCAGGAACTGTATTAAGGGTCACCACAACAGGAGAAACTGTATTAAGGGTCACCACAACACGAGAAACTGAATTAAAGGGTCGCGACATTAGAAAGGTTGAGAACCAAAATTTGGAATTCAAAATCTATCCAAAGTATTTCAGGATCATAGCCGGTGCTACGGAGTTCGTGCACTGTGCTGAGATTCTTCGGACTCAGGCCTGAGTTAGAAGTAGAACGGAGCACTTACGAATTACTACCTTTGTGCCATGATGTTGATCCGTTGTATAAACCCTTAACCATAAATTAAGTTGGCAAAGAATTTGATTTGCTGTCTGTATTTAAGTCGGCTCTGTGGCTAAGTCGATGCGAACGTTTCGTAATGCCGGGGTGCCGGGTTCAATCCCAGCTGCGGGCCATGCGCCTTGCGGTGGTTTCGACAGTGGTATCAGGGGGGCCGACCGACCAGCGGCAATGGCAAACTACTAGGATGTAAATTTGCCTAGATAAACCACACAAACGCCAGGGGCTGCTGGGATTGGTTCTGCAACGTCCTGTAAAGGATACGGAACTAACCTTCGTCTGAATTTAGAATCGTTTTTGTGTCGACGTTTATGACCACAATTCTGATTTCGTCTCTTCGTATCACTTCCGTAGCTGTTTTCGGACATCTAATTTATGTGGTTACTGATTTTCTATTCTGGTTTGTTTTGAGGGAATACGAATGAATGAATTAAAGAATGGAGACTTGACAGTGCACTAGAGATATTCCAATACGTGCTTCGTCTTCTCTCATTAGTAAACGAAGAGTCGGTATGCTAACAGTACTAGCTGGAACCTGATTCAAAGTGCGCCTTTGTTACCCCTGAACATCTTCCAGAACCTCGACTCACCATCCGTTCAATTGGTCTTTCAGTGTATGGATTCCTTTTATGTTATTTTTATCACATGGAGTCTTCACCGCGTTTTCTTTATCGTAAAATAGCTCACCACCCAGATGAAGGACAGCGGCAAATCTATTATCCTGCTCAATATCCCGGATGTCTGAATTTCCTGGACAGAAACTTTTGATATACTCCCGATCCGATCTTTATCAAGAGATGCAAGTCACTCTACACGTAGGATGTCAGTTCCAGTTGTCCGAAGCATGCTCTATGAGTCCATTACAGCTACATGTCGAGCTGTGCTGTTCTCAAGCTATCGGAAAGCTGCCGTTGCTGCCTCCACCTTCATTCTCATATTGTTGGTATTTTCACACGGGGATTCCCTGTGGAATGATGTGAGGGGGAAACCTCGACAGAAAAACGGGATAACGCAAATACCCCTAGAAACACGAGGTACTCGAGCAGGGTGGACGAACAGGTGAAGCCACTTGGAAGGTTATAAGATTAGACAAGGGTCTAATCAGACAGTATGTGTTTGCCAG